GCTCAGGCAATCCACTCACCTCAGCCTCCCAAAGTACAGGATTACAGGCTGAGCCACTGAACCCAGCTAAGCCCTCCTTCTTATGTAGGGGATTGGATTGTGGTTCTAAAATTGAGAGGGAGAAAGATCCCTTATATCCTCACCTTAATACACTCTGTGAATTTTATTAAATGACATTGACTGGGCGCAGTGACTCAAGCCTGTAATCCTAGCACTTTAGGAGGTCGAGGTGAGGATTTCCTGAGCCTACAGGTTCGAGACCAGCCTGGGCAACTTGGTGAGACCTCATCTATACAATAAATCAAAATATTAGCCAGGCATGGTGGCACGTGTCTGTAGTTCCAGCATCTTGGAAGGCAGAGGCAGAAGGATCGCATGAGCCCGGCAGGTCGAGGCTGTGGTGGCCATGAGCATGCCACTGCACTTCAACCTGGGCTACGGAGTGAGACTCCAACTCAAAAAAAAAGACCAGGCTCAGTGGCTCAGCCTATAATTCCAGCACTTTGAGAGACTGAGGTGAGAGGATTGCCTGAGCCCAGGGGATCAAGACCAGCCTGGGCTCTACAATAAGTCACAAAAACTAGCTGGGCGTGGTGGTGTGTGTGGAAAGCTACTTGGAAAGCTGAGGCAGAAGGATTGCCAGAGCCCAGCAGGTCGATGCTGGGGTGGTGGTGAGCGTGCCACTGCACTCCAGCCTGGGCGACAGAGTGAGACTCCAACTCAAAAAAAAAAGAACATTAAATGCTGACAGTCAGGGAGAGGGCTGGGGCATGGTCATTTCACTGCGGTGCTGTTACTCGGGGGACTGCATCCTGCTTGCTGAAGAGCAGGACCAAGCTTCTCACAGTCTTCTCACCTCACAGATGAGGTCTCGCCAAGTTGCCCAGGTTGGTCTCAAACCCACGGGCTCAGACAATCCTCTCACCTCGGCCTCCCAAAGTGCTGGGATTATAGGTGTTAGCCACCATGCCTGGCTAATGTTCTTTCAGTTGGAGTGAAACTTATATGAAATGCACACATCTTACGTGTACACTGAGTTTTTCTGTGACCTGTTGCTTAGGTAGGACAGTCATCCAAGCCCATTCCTAAAGGAAGCACTGTCCTGGTCATCAAAACCACTTTGGTCGATATCTCTGGTTTTCCCCTCCTCCAACCTCTACAGTTGAGTTAGCTGCTCTCTCTTCTTTTTAATTCCTAGTGTTCTGCAAGGGGATAGTGTAATTACCGATGAAGAGGAAGCCTCTAAGAAGGTAGCTGATCAGTTGGACAACATAGTGGACATGCGCGAGTATGATGTCCCCTACCATGTCCGCCTCTCCATCGACCTGAAGATTCATGTGGTGAGTGGGTCAGGCCAGGTTGCTGCTCATGTGAAGTTTCTCACAGTCAGAGGATGATACCTATGGATAAATTCACAGAGAAATAGACTTGCCTGGACATAGAGCTCTTTAGTTAACTCACTGCATGTTCTGCAATTCTACAGGCTCATTGGTACAATGTCAGATACCGAGGAAATGCTTTTCCAGTGGAAATCACCCGCCGAGATGACCTTGTTGAACGACCTGTGAGTACCGCTTACATTTGCTCCATCCTAAAATTTCACCTTATTTTCCAGAGAGAACAGATTCAGTGCTGAAGGATGAATTTGACTCAAAGATTTATCTGCTGCTTTTTCTTCAAGTATTTTCTTAAAATAATTACGGAGTTAGAGTCATCAGTTTCTGACTATTATGTCATTTTTCATTGTATACTACCACATGATGTCAGTGTTTGAGCTATGCTAGATTTGGACGTTTGAGGGAAAGCGGTGACTTTCGTTTGGGTACTTGACACTGGAGCGACATGGGAAATGGATGTATAGCTAGAAGGCCTTGATTGAAGCATGGCTTTGTGGTCTTGAGAAAGCCTGTGCATTCAGCTTTCTCATTACCAGCATGAAGGTGTCAGCTCTGTACCACAGTCAGCTATAAGCTTTATCATTAAAGGTCGCAACAAGCTGGGCTTGGTGGCTCAGCCTGTAATCCTGCGCCTTTGGGAGGCTGAGGTGAGTGGATTGCCTGAGCCCTTGGGTTGGAGACCCGCCTGGTCAGGCGAGACCTCATCTCTACAATAAAATCAAAAAATTAGCCGGGCATGGTAGCGTGCGCCTGTAATTCCGGGCTATTCGAAAGGCTGAAGGGGAAGGATCGCTGGAGCCCAGCAGGTGGAGGCTGCGGTGGCCGGGAGCGGTCACTGCACTCCAGTCTGGGCGACAGAGTGAGACTCCAACTCATAAAAAAAAAAAAAAAAAAAGGTCACAACAAGGTGATGGGCAGGTTGAGGCTAAGGTTTCCCTGGGATCATTTGCTCCAGCCCTTATCTCTCAGGCGTGTCAGCTTTCATACCTCCAGAGATCATGGTCCTGGCGTAGGTCTGCCAGTCTTGAGGTGCCTGTTCCAGGTCTCAGAGCCTTTCTATTCCAGCTGGAGGTGGAGCAGATCAGGGTGGGTCCAGAGAGGACTAGCGGGGTATCCAGAACTCAGTGCATATACTGTTTTGTCCTCCAGGATCCTGTGGTTTTGGCATTTGACATCGAAACGACCAAACTGCCCCTCAAGTTTCCCGATGCTGAGACAGACCAGATCATGATGATTTCCTACATGGTTGATGGCCAGGTGGGTGGTGGCTCTGGGAGGTAAGCTCCAGGCGTGGGGCCCTCGTGGAGCAGTGTCTGCCCTATAGTTAGTATCTGTTGGGTGCATGATGAGTGGGTGGAGTCCAGGGGCGCAAGCAAGGCATTCCAGCACCCAGTTGCACAACTGCCTCCTAATGGAAATCCACACACTAAAGGTGTTTCCTTCTGGGAGACAAGGAGCTTTCGCATGTGGCAGAGTTCTTTGTTTTTGTTTTCTTTTTTGAGTTGGAGACTCATTCTGTTGCCCAGGCTGAAGTGCAGTGGCATGGCCACCCCAGCGTCGACCTGCTGGGCTCCAGCGATCCTTTCGCCTCAGCCTTCCAAGTAGCCGGAACTACAGGCGCGCACTACCATGCACCTGTAATTTTTTATTTATTGTAGAGACAAGGTCTCGATATGTTGCCCGGGCTGGTCTCGAACCTGCAGGCTCAGGCAGTCCACTCACCTTGGCCTCCCAAAGTTCTGGGTTTACAGGCTGAGCCACCGAGCCCAGCCCGTGGCTGAATTCTTTGTATCAAGAGTCTCCAGGCAGTTTCTGGGAAGTGTTGGGGATTGCATCTCAGCTTTGCATTGTTGACTTATGTTGATGGCTGATAAACTTCGCCAGGGATACCTCATCACCAACAGAGAGATCGTTTCAGAAGATATTGAAGATTTTGAGTTCACCCCCAAGCCAGAATACGAAGGGCCCTTTTGTGTCTTCAATGAACCTGATGAGGTAAGGAGGTGTCACTTGGGAAACAACCTGGTCTTGGGATAAAGAGGCATGCCAATCTTCTCAAGGTCGCAGGCATTCGTTGGATCAGAACTGCAGCTCCGTGAGCTGTTCTTAGGGTGCGATCCTCCTTCCTGTCAGAGATGGGCAGGGCATGGGAGTCAGGGCTGTCACAGGCTGATTCTTCTGAGCTTTGGGAGAAGAATTTGGAAATAGCTTAAAGAAGAGAGAACAAGCCTCTGACTGCTGTGACTTGTTGGGTTCAGCTTCATCTGATCCAGAGGTGGTTTGAACACGTCCAGGAGACCAAACCTACTGTCATGGTCACCTACAATGGGGACTTTTTCGACTGGTGAGTCTGATGTCTTGTTTGTAAATAACTAGAAAGTGTTGGGATGGGAGGGGTGCTGGGTGGGGTGAGTGGGGCTTCTCATGTCAATTGAGGATGAGGAGGTGGCCACTGTGTGGAGCTCCTGGTTCTGCTCTGGGTATCCTGTGTCTGAGGGAGAACCCTGACCTGTTCCCTTCTCGTCTCTGCTCTTTCATCCCCAGGCCGTTTGTGGAGGCCAGGGCGGCGATCCATGGCCTGAGCATGCAGCAGGAGATAGGCTTCCAGAAGGATAGCCAGGGAGAGTACAAGGCACCTCAGTGCATCCACATGGACTGTCTCAGGTGGGCGCCCCAGGCAGCGACAGCTCTTCACTGTGGTCTTGGGAGCAAGAGCTGAAGACCTTCTCGTGCAGACTGTGCCATTGACGCGTCTTGGAGGAGCACAGCCTCCAAGAAGCATAGCCTCAGAAGCACTTCTGGGTCACCTCACTTCTGGGATATGCTGTCTTTAGTCGTGGGTGAATTGTTTATTTAACGAACAGGCACGTGCTGAGTCTCAGTCTGTAGGGATGGGGGAGCCGGCGCAGGAGGGTGAACGTCTGCGTGAGGTCCGCTGGTGCTCGGAGCTGTGGAGCGACCGCCTCCCTCCCAGGCGTGATCGGGCGTGTGGCAGCTGGGCTGGTCTCCCAGGCGGGTCTCCATACAGTTCCATATGCCGGGCACGTGAGGTAGCTCAGAGCTGTGGAAGGTCACGGTGATTGGGGACTCGGGTATATGTGGCTAGGAAGACAATGTGAATGTGCGAATGCCGTGGGGTCACCACCAGCCTCTGTGCTAGTGGGAGGTAGGTTCATGGCAACCTGAGTGCCACTGGAGCACTTGAAGCATTAAACCTCATTTTTGTTTGGTTTTGGCAGTCAGCACTTGGGCTCGAGGTGTGGCCAGGAGGCTGTGGCCGTTTCAGTGTGGGATAGAGTAACCATCCTGATCCAAAGCAGGTGGTGCAGGGTGCGAGGACACAGGGTCTGCTGATGGGGAGTGAGGGTGGGGCGTCCCAGGGATGCTGGTTTTTGGGAATGGAATGGTACCTCAGAGATTTTGTGCCATCTGGGGAGACTGGGAATAGGGAAAAGAAGGGGGTTGAGGTGGGAGGGGATCCCACTCAGTCATGCTAGCCTGGAAGCCTCACCCAGATGGGGGCCCTGGAGACCATTTCTTGTTACAGGCTTGTGCTGTGAACTGGGGCTCACTGGCACACAGTTATGGGGGAGAGTCAGTGAAGTAAGATGAGACGTAAAGTGAGAGGGGAGGAGGCCGTGTGGTGGGGGTGGCCCTTGGGGGAGGCTGTGGGAGGTAGAGACTGGACACAGCCACTGGGCAGCTGTATGTCCCAGGGAAGGCATTGGTGTAAGGAGGAAGTAGAGTCAGGTTCTGGTGGGGGGCAGGGTTCTCCTTTTTTTTTTTTTTTTT